GAAAACTGAAGTCCTCAGACTCCTGACAACATGCGTGAAGCGAGAGGGATAACACACCAAAAAAATAACAGGTTGATAGTTTCCGGGGGGCTTCCAGAAGAAAACTGATGAAGGTTGAGAACAGACAATGCAAACCCTGATGTCCAGGATCTCAGACAACTTTGCTCTGAGAGTTTTATGTGACAGAAAACAAGAAAACTACATGAATGTGGGGATGTCCTCGCCACCGCCAATAGCTCGGGCAGTGCTTCCAATGTCAGAACAATGCCATTGCTATTGCACGGTCTCAATGAGTTACCTTGCTTAAACATCAATGCCTACAGTATGCTACAGAACATCGTAGCGTCCAGCGGATGCATGCTTCCAATGCGGCATGCGAGTGTTGTGGCACCGAATCCTCCATGCTCGCAACTGCGTTTCTAACTCGCTAAATTGCATAGATGCAGCTCAGCGGCTGCGCGCTGCAGCAGGAAGGCCTGCGTAGCCTGCAAATGGCAATGGTACTGCAGTATGACACACCCTGGCTTGACTGCAACGTGCCCCCCATGCTGCAAACAGACTTGAATTTTCGCGCATTTCCCAACAAATGCATCTGTGGCATCTGGCTGCAAACCCGCGACCGGAAGGCATACTCTAAGATGATCATGACCCACCACAGAAACTGTTTGAATACACGTTGTTGGTGACACTCCAAGACCGACGTCTCAATATAGCGAGCCACGACCTCTCCAAACCGTCGAGCCTTCACGTTCTCTTCACGCGTCGGCCGAAAGGTCTAGCAGGGCACCGGCGAAGAGGACACAGGTTTTAGGTACAGAAACAGTGCAACACTCAACCGTGGCCTTCGGCAAAGGGCGACGGGTGCAGGCCTGAGCACGATCTTTCCGCTCAGATTTCAGGACTGGGATCTAGGATTGGTTGGGGCTTTGGGCGTCGGTTCACTGTCCATCTGAAGCTTGCCACAATTGCTCATGTCTTCCACTGCTCCTCCCGACTGGGAGAGTGACTTTCAAGTGCAGCTCTGGCATGCACTCCTGCTTGACATGCTATTGACGGTTTTCGGCGTGGCCTCAGCATGCCTATATCTGCGGCAGGAGGCGAGGAATGCCGCGGACGCAAACCCGCAGCGTGAAACAGAATAGGGATGGCGAAATCTAAAATGAGCCAAAGTGAACCAGAAGACCTGGAAGGCAGAAGTGAAACATTCGTAGAATGACTTCTAAGGTGTACTGTTGCTAGAGCATCGTAACGTACGGTACAGTGTCTTCGTCCCTACGGTATGGTGAGGAATCTCCGCACGTGGAGCTCCAAGGAAGAACATCACCAGCTAGGACGCCGGCAGATCACCTGCTCGCCAATTCCACCTCCACCTCAACATCTGCAAAATCGAGCTGAGACGGGATTGCTTAAAGCATCCTGAGTGATCCTGCTCGCCCCTAGCTCCACGTCAATAGTGTGAGGTAACCTGCTAGCAACTAGTCGAAGGAAACATCATCTTTGCAGTCTGACAGGGCAACGCTCTGACTGAGACGCCAGCTCATTGCATGCTGCCAGCGCTCTGCCGGCACCTGAAGAAGTCGTGTCAGATTTTGCCGGCTGCCCATGTATTGGAGGTCTGGGATTCTGACATCTCTTTGTCATGCATGAGGGAGAATGCCACGAAAAGGGATACTCCAGGCTTGCTGGTAGTAGGCTTTTCGCAAAGGAATTCTATCATAGTGGTATTGAAATGCTCTGTGACGTGGTATCTAGACGTCGCTCATCCTGAATCGTAACAAAGATGGTTGAGCCCGCTCGAGTACTCGACGCTGGCTGCAAAAGCCAAGCTCTCGGGCCGAGTTTGCATCAGTAATTCTTCATGACAACGCTTAACAAAAATGTGATGAGCTGGTGCTGGATGGACATCAACTGCTTTTGTCAACACGTGCTTGTGTTCGTACAGCGAGCAGCAATGATGAGCTGGTGCTGGGATGGATATCAACTGCTTTTGTCAATACGTGCTTCTGTTCGTACAGCGAGCAGCAATCCGAACCTATAAATTGACCGGTGACCAAATCGAGTATCAGAATGGCAGTTCTCTACTTACGAATGAACGAGGCTCAGGAGAACAAGGGTACACCCCTTACGAACGAACCGATTGTCCATATAATTTTAAAGACACCGCTCAAATGGCCGACCAAAGCATTGAATAACTGTCCAGCCTGAGGCTCCGTGTGGCCATTCCTTGCACAGTTTTACATACAATGTACTTTTTACGGGATAGTTGGGAGCTCCGCTCAGTTGTGGATCCTGCGGCTTTCGCTGGGGCTCTTGGTGACTTCCAGGAACATTCCATTGTTCGTCATACCTCCCTTCATGTTTCCTGTCTGGGCTCTTGGGTTGGATGGGTGGGCCACGTCAAAGAGGCTGGGCTCCCATTTTGGCTCCCTTCATGTTTCCTTTCTGGGTTCCTGGGTCAGATGGGTGGGCCGCGGCGACGGGGTGGGTTCCACAGGTGCCCTTCAAGTTTCCTTTCTGGGTTCCTGACGGATGGGTGGGCCACGGCGACAGGGTGGGTTGCATTGGTGGGTGGGCCGCGGCGACGGGGTGGGCTCCATTGGCCTCCCTTCATGTTTCCTTTCTGGGCTCCATGGTCGGATGGGTGGGCCGCGGCGACGACGGGGCGGGCTCATTCCCATTGGGCACCCTTCATCACGGATGTCACCAACACCCATTCTTCTTTTGCGCAAGAATGTTGCCTAATGCCTAAACATCTGTTTCGCAGCATCTGCTGGCGAAGGCAGATTGGTTTCCAACACGTTCCAACCTGAACCGGCATGATTCGATGCATTCTGTTTGGGGTCTTCGCTGGTGTCATTCATTTACTGTTAAACGCCGCGTATTCATTGATCACGGTAAGTCTTGACTGTTCTCAAGCCATCATGTGCCGAGACCTTATGAACCGAAACCCTATGACGATGAAGCTGCCGAGCATCGCCCCCAGTGAGACGCGCCCGAAGACGCAGCTGCAGATTGCCGGGCAGCGGCCCACCATGATCAGCGCAACGGGCAGCACCGGCCCGGTTGCGATGGTTGCTCAGACGATGCCTGCAACCCGCAACGCTGCACTGCTTGCGAGGCCGGGCGCGCCTCAAGGTGGGGTTTCCCGCTCGCAACGCACGACCATGCAGGGCACAGCTGCGCAGCCCCGCCTCAAGGCGAGGCTGGCTGATTCGCCTGTGGCAGCGGTAGCATGTCCTGGGCATGGCCCACGTAGGGATGAAACAAGCGCTGGGCCAAAGCCACACAGCTAATGCCGAGAGCAGCAGTCAGGCAATTCAAGCGACTGCACACAGAAGGAGGGGGACCGACCGGAGAGGAGAGAGCGAACAAGAAGGAGGGGGAGGACCGACCTCCATGGTTGCAGTGCCGCGCGTCAAGGTCACGACGCCCGGACTACAGAAGAGTTTAGGGTCTAGAGGAAATCTGACACATCATAGTCGGGTTACCGTTTTAACGGTTTAAGTTGCTGTCGGGTTGAAAGCTTCGTGTTTGACTCAGGACTCCTACACACAGCATACAGACGGACGCTGTACGGCTAAGGTGTAGGGCTCGGCTTCGTGTGGAGGTGCAAGGGTTGCTTGCCTTGCTTCGGTTTATTTCGCATGTATATATATATACACACATATATATATATATATTAACGTACATTTGTATATAATTACTTAGAACTACGTAGAACCCTTCACTGTATAATTTAGAAGTTATAACTAACCCCCCTAACCTCAAGCCCCTAAACCCTTAAACCGTAAACATCTTCAGCTTTGGAGACGACTCCCGAGACAAGAACGAGGACATCATTAACATGGCTTGGTGTGCTGGGCCGTTCTTGGAGCCTTGCTAAGCATTGTAAGTCTCAGCCCTTCTTGGATTTCAATCATACGAGTAACCAGCTTTGTGCAATAAATATGGAACCTTTGTCTTGTTGCGCTCTTCGGCTAAAAGCCGAAAAGCTGAAAAAGATTGCCATTGCCTCAAGCCCTAAAGCCCAGGTCTTTTGCTGCAACCAGGGCAGTCGAAGCTCCCATCGCAAAGCAGAACCAACTTTCAGAGAGGACTTTTGCCTCCATGAGTTCTTTTTGCTGCAGGGCCCTTCTACATGGTTTGGTGTTGTAGGGGTTCAGAGCCGGTATCGGGTTTGGCGATTGAAACTACTTGTCAAGTCTGTGCAGACAGCCCGGAAACGCTTGATGAACCTAAACGGGTGTCTCGGATTTCGGCTTCAAGCGGTTTGGGTGTAGGCAGTGCCAGGAAGATGCTACTCTTCTCAAGGATGTGTTTTCAGGGAGCTGCTGTGGGGCTTCTGCATTGAATCAGCGCAAAGATAGACATAACTGCACATGTACAAATGCTTTTGAGCTGAAGAGAAAGATGAGAACTTTTGCATATTCTGTCGTGTGCATATTTATCAAAACTGAATATCCTAGCTACACCTTCAAGCACAAACTTGGAAGGATTTCCATTGTGCTAGCGTCAGCATGACCACTAAACAGCGAACACAGCAACAAGTCCACATCAGAATTCAAGGCAGAAGCCTCTCTGAGTTGTGAAGCTGGCAAGAGGAGCTTCACCAGGCTGTCATAGCAAATCCTGTCCTTCGGAAACCAGGTCAGATCGCGGAGCCATCCGTGCCCCAAGCATAGAATGGAGAGCGGATTAGCTCTGTCTGAGCCATCAGCTTCAGTAACCCCCTCAAGAAGGTTGATTTAGGGCTGACGGGCTTCGGGCTACATGTTTTAATAGTGATACAGAAGTTCACCCACCTTGCAATCGAGGGAGCCGTACGGGTCATTGACCAAGTGGAAGATTTCAATGCGTCATTTCCCAAAGCGCATTGTCTTCGTAGCACCGCTCAGACCTTGCCACCCAAAACCTCAGCGTTGCGCAAAGTTCTTTGCATCATAAAGTCCTCTCCATTGCAGCAGAAATTCACGAAGCATTTATGCCGCTGAGGGTTCAACGAGCTGCCGGACAGTGGCATGAAGCGGGCCATACATTTTCCTCAGCATGGTCAACGATTCGTTTCGGATTGTGTTTCGGATTTCGGATCTACTACTAAAAGCTTTCCCAAACCTCTCCCCTTTCACCAGGCAAGCTTCGCGTTGCCGTCGCTTCGCACGCCGGTTTCTTGTACTCGCCAGTTGCCACTGATTTGGTCTTTGACTGCACAGCAAAGAACCACTGCCTCACCAATTGCGATAGCGCAAAAGTATGTGAAACCAGTCTTATGTGTCGGATTTTGCAGACTGCCAGTCGACATCCCACGCCTCTTCACGACCAGACCGACTAGCATTGTAGCTTGCCAGCTGCTGCATCGTGACGGCGTTCTTCAGCCGCACCGATGGGTTCTCCAGGGGTGTGCCGTAAACGCAGTTGCACTACACATGATACGAGGGCAGGTTTAATTCAAGCAGCTTCAAGGATAATCGAACTCAAGAATCGAAACAGACCAGCCGGAATGCTAAGATTCAAGGGAGCTGCTGCACTGCTTGACTGCGGCTTCGGCTGCTGCTATGAGTTCAACGGAGCTCATGCGGACCGAGCTCTTCTACAACCAAGTCGAAACGAAGCCCTTGACTCGCTACAAGTCCTTACAATTTATGCGAACACGTACTCTGCCACAACGAAGATCTGGCCTGAAAGCTTTCCAAAGTCACTCCACCAGGCTTGAACGCGCTCAACGTGAAGAATAAGTATCCTCGGCAAAGGCTAGGGGTCCCCGGTCTGGAGGGCTTCTACTGTTCAGGCTGAAAGTATCGAAACGTGTCTGATTCGATCCCCTCAATCAAAAACTAAACTTTTTGCCTTGGGCTGGCAAGCATCGGCAGGTGGATGCCAACAGCATGGTGTCGACTGTAATGAGCTGCCGCGGATTCCGAATAGACGACGGTCCTGTCTGTGCCGCAGAGTGTGAAGAAAAGGGGCTGCTGGACCACAACGTGTGAAACTTCAGGATGTTCTTTCCTGCTTGATCCCAAATCCTAGATGCCACTTCCTCAACATGTGAAGCAGGAGCCACGGGTGCGTGTCCTCCATGGCTGATGCCGCTTGACCGTGTCGCCTGAAAGTCGACCTCCCCCAACACATTGCAGGCGCTATCCAGCAGGATGCAGCTGCCATTCAGGTGGTGCGTCGTGATCTGGCCACAGGGGAGGCTGGAAGGATCGGGGATGCAGGCGCATGCTTGGCATCAGGTTTCGCGCGTTTAACCCACTTGCATGGTTCGGGGCTGCGGCTGAGGGTTTCGACAGATTCCGGCTGGAACGTGTCTTCAGAAAACTCATGATACATTGGGTCAATTTGATTAATTGACTTTCAACTCGGAGCTGGGTCACTCCACCCGTTTGTGGTTGCATGCCACACGTTCCCAAAGTGCCTGCTTTCTCGTGGTTGGTGAGAGGCTGCTAGGCTGCTGCTGCAGAGATATCGGAATGATTCCAGCGTGGGTGCCCAAACAATGACCGACCCACACAGCAAATACGCCCAACGAGAGGGTGGGTGCACTCTGCGAACCCTTGTGCGGAGCCGAGACCCGCATGCACGACCAGGACGATCCCGACCACCAGCGAGAGGCCACCAACAGACCAGCAAACTGACGGCAACCAAACCACCAGTAGAATGGAGGACACCCCAAGATTATTACGAGAGCACAAGCAGACCACGGCTTTCCCCCATGTACTGGCGAAGTTCAAAGACAAGACCACAATGATTTATCAAAAGATTCAGGGAAAGGCGTCATCGTAGATGGATTTTGATATTTTTTGAAGTCGTGGTGCGCTATGGCCAGGAAGCATAAAGGTGCAAGGCCGCAACAACGAACAAACGGCGGTAAGAGAGGACAAGATCGGCATCCGCAACACGGCATTGAACAACGAAGCCGGCACAGCTCGAACGCAGCCCACACTTCAATGAAATCCGAAGCAGTTCTGCAAGTAGTACGGCAAGCAGTGTGGTAACGCTATGGGTTTCTTGGAAGGGTGTAGAATTGGCCACTTCGGTGTGTCGCGAAAAGTAGCTCACCGCCCGATCATTTACTCCCCCTGTGGTGCAGTGCCTAGTTGTCGCTGCCCAGGAGGCGTGATTCATGGTAAATACTATGACATGGATTTTTTGCTCTCCAAACATGAATCGCAGCAGTACGGGGGGGAAACGATATCGGGTCTTGCTCTGGATTTGGCAAGCTACGGGGGGAAGCACAAGTCGGCTCCTCCCGAAAACGCGCCAGTGCTTGGCGGAAAGCGATTCCGCCGTGCCATCCGTCTTCGTGAATCCCGCCAGTATTCTGGGGAAAACATTCCGGGGTGCTGCTCACTGCGCAAAATACTTGGGGGCAAGTATTTTGGCAGTGTCCGCGTGGTCTCCTGGTTTGTGGTGGGTTGTCGTCCGGTTGGTGTCTGTTGGTCTTCTGTTCTCTCCTAGTGTTCTCTGGATTGTGTCCTGGTGATCTCCTGTTCCCTGCTGGACTCCTGGTTGTCTATTGGTATTCTGCTGGTGTCGTGGTGATCTTTTGGTTCTCTTCTGGTGGTCTCTTGCTGATCTCTTGGTGGTCTCCTAACGCTAGAATAAAAACAGATAGCAACTAGTTGCGACCTGTATTTTCCGAGGCATGGCGAACCCACGGCCTGGTGGGTGGTGACTCTGCTCACAGATTGCAAGCGGCTGTGACTTGTATTTTTCAGAAAAACCAACACAGCACCGGCCGGGTGGTTGTGACATCCTGGTCTTAGTGGCATGCTCCTGATGTGTGGTCTTTCACTGCTTAGGGATCTCCGCACCCAGGCATAATGAGATGTCGGCAACTGCAACAACCACGACGACTATACCCTAAACCCCTAAACCCTAAACCCAGGACTATTCTTCTGAACATGACTACTGCAGTTACTTGCGTTTTCCGTTTTCAAGCAACAGCAAGCCAGCCTTGCCGGATCTTAACCTCGTCGGCACGGCAGTCCAACTAAGCTCGAAGGTGAGCTTCCTGGAAGCGGACTTTTTTAAGGTTCGGGGAAGGTTTAGGGTTTCAGGGTCTCAAAGGTTCGAAGATTACAGCTGCAGGCCAGTCCGAGAGGGGCTTGTGACTACTTGGAGAGGTCCCTGAGGTAGTTTCGTGCTGTGTGTTGTCGGGTTGTCACGCCGCCGGCTCCCCTTCAAATTTGAAAAACTGCGGAGCCCTCTCTCTCCCAGAAAAGCACTCTTCAAAAACCATGGTATCCAAACAACGTGCAATGTGGGGTTTCCTTTCGATGCAAGAAAAGAGTTCTTCAGAATCTGGGAGCAGGGTCCGTGGCGGTTCTATTCCCTGTGCGGAAGCCTCACAGCACTCGCGGAGCTGGTGGATCCAGTCTCGTACATGATGATGACGAGCTGGATCACCTATGTGATCGTTCGAGCCGTATGTCTTTGCCAGTAGAATCTTGTAGGACCAAAGAAATTACTCTGGAAATGAGAAGCTCCAAGCCGGTGCCTTGCACAAACATAGGGGACTTTACATGAGACATTAACAGAACAGCATCTTCTTTCTTGGATGCCCGAAAGGATAACCCTGCCCTGCCTCTCCAAAAGGTACTCCCAGCGAACTCCACTGCGGATCGTCTGCATGGTTCGCCTGCAGAGCTCGAGAAGGGACACAGAATGTTTATTGCAACCAGATTCCTCTGCAAAGAGTGTGCCAAATGAACTGTCACCAAGCTCGTCATACACCATGAAACCTCGGAAAGTTAACCCAAGACTCTGCTTTAGAAGACATTTCAGCACCAGTGGCTGTCAGGTCTCGTCCTCTGAAAAGGAGCCGCTGCTTCCCTGTGAGCAGACAGGAGTCGCAGCTGTCTTATAGGTCTTGAGCTTACGGGCTTTAGTGCGCGGTTCGGTGCAAGCGCAAGAATCCGAATCACACCGACAACAACGTAGCAACACTTGCAAAACTATTTGTGGACAGCATGAAGGCTGTTCATTGTCAGACCCAAAGCAACAAGGAGCCCAGCCTGGCTAGTTACAGGAGACATCGCTTGCTGGATGGAACGTGTTTAGACCTTTCCAATCCTGGCATGGTCACGAAGCCTCAACGTATCTATCAGGGTGCGTGCCACGTTCCGGTTGCCGTACCGAAGCACACTCTCAGACGATGCAGCGTGTATCTCAACAGCAACTGCCAGACTCCCTGTGCAGCAATCCCATCCTTCCATTCCACGAAGATTCTCAGCACTGCATCTCAGATCGGCAGCCATGTAAACCTTAAGCAGCCTTCAGCACTAAGCTTTCGCCTTAGCCTAGCTGTAGTATCAGTTTGCCTTTTTTTTAGAAACCCCTTTCCCGTGCCTTCTGGTACATGCAAGCCATTCCTTATCTTCTCCTTCACCGCACTGAGCCGCATCCTCTTCGACAAAGACCTTGGGGAACACAGCTGACGAAACTTTGAGTTTCTTTGCCTCAGTGAAGACCTACAGGTGGAGCTAGCGACTGCGCTCCTCGATTATACCGTGATTTGCGCACATTGTCGTCCTGAGATGCGGTTTACATCGTCGGAAGGAAACACAAACCTCCTGAAATTGTGCCAAAACTTCTGTGGACCGGTGGACTTCTGCATCCATCAGACACACAAGTCGCGGGCCAAGAGTAGCTTGTGGCGCTTGGGGTCCGAAAATGATCGTGCGCCTGAAATCATTTGCAAGTACCGAAACCACTGGTGAGGCACGATGAGCTGCTGCAAATGCCGTTTGGACACTTTCGGATATGCGAACCGAAGCAACGAGGAAATCACCTTGTGAGCCCTTCGGTGATAATGCTCCTAGTCTTCAAATACCGAAACGCTTCAGAGCTCCAAGGAGCAAGGCCCCCCCCCAAAAAAGCCAGTGGAGCAACAACAAATCCCAAACTACATCCATGGGTCCTTCCCGAGCGACGTGACCCCTTCCCGATATCCACCAAGTCTTCGACATGACTGTGTGTCGGAGCCTGCGTGTGTATCAACCACCCAACATCCAATCCCTGCCCCCGACACTTGGAACGAGAGCCGGATCCGAAGCTCGACACCTCAGAAACTGCTGGCCCAATAACGCCCGAAGCCTGGTAACCCTGAATGCCAAAACCCCAAGACACCACAGCCCTTAAAAAGCTTCCGGGGTCAGAGCAGGGTAAGACGGCGGCCGTCCAGCACGGAGACCTGCTGGCAGCGAGAATGGTGGAAGTGGGACGGGAAATATTCCTGCTACCACCCAAGCTAATCCTATTTCCACTCCGAACAATTAACATCACCAATATTGACAACGACATTGACAACGATGAGCACTACAATCGTGAAAAAAGATCTCCGTTTGAACCGAAGGCGAGTGCATTCTGGATCTGATCTAGAGTTTGGAAGGCCTCAGGGCCTCAGGGTATTCCAAAGCCGAAATGCGAAGTCGGGAACATCAAAGCCATGTTTCACACCGTGGCACTCCAAGTCCTAGAGCCCTAAGCCAACTCTGAAGGTGCAGAAGCAGCAGAGGCCTTCGTTCCCAAAACGCGACATCTCACGGCTCTTTCGACCCATTCGCTAGTTGAATTTCAACTGAACGCAGCAAAAGCACTCTGCATCTTTCTGGCTTTCGAGACGCGAGATGCAAACTTCGAGGCGAGTTGTTAGAGACACCAGGACAAGGGCCTGTGGAACTCTTTGGCTTCAGGGTTTAAGGACCTTCGATCAAAGGACGTCGGCACTGGGGTGCCTCTACATTGCCTTCCGGTGGAAGAGAGTCCACACCAAGATCCCGTTGCCTCTTGACCTGCAAAGCACAAGAGCTTTCGACGCTGTAAAGACTCTCATTGTAAGGCTTCGCGCCTCTGATGTGCAACAGTTCACGATGCTTATCGCACTAGCTTTCGGACCTCGAGCTACGGAGTTTGACCTGTGCATTTTTCGGGCCGTAGGCTTGGGATGTAGAGGATACAGGCTACCGCTTCTGAGGAGTCAGCAAACCACGCAATGGCACTTCTGGCTTGCTGCAACCAAACATCCACTTTACAGCACTTCTTCGCGCAGATCTCTCCTTCAATCTGGGACTCCGTTTCGGGTTTACGGAGAAGCAGCAGCGGTGTCCAAAGCGCTTCTCCCTTTCAGACCATGGACAAAGTCTGCTTGGGTGGCCTCTTCTTCTCTGGCACCGAGGAGGTCGAGATCGCGGAATACAGCGCATTCCCGATTGCCTAAGCTCCGCAACATTCAGAGCAAGTCAGGATAATAAGAAACTCCGCTCATTGACGGCACAGCTGCGATTTCAGGCTGGCTGCAATGTTTCATCATCCTCCTGATTTTCTGTATCTCCGACTCTGGCAGAAACTTGCCACATTCAGGACACATGCCTGGCAAGACCACGTTTCCATTGCTTGCAGGGAACACACGAACAGTGAATCCGCGAGCCTGACAAGTGCTTGTCTTTGGGCAAGAGATTGTCAAGGCACGTCAAGCAGATGCTGGGTGCATGCTCACCTCAGTCGCAAAGTATAGGCAAGAGCGAGAATCTTCTCTCTCGAAACTGGAGCCTGGAGCCGAGTTAGTGTCAAGCAAAGGAAACAATCGCTTGGGCTTCGGTGTCTGCTTGTGGCCGTTAACTTCTTTTCAGGGTTCGCCCCACCAAGTACCGTGACGTGCACCCAGGTCGCAGTCAGATACTGGGTCAGGAAAGTCTGAGGATGACTTCTTGCTGCGGCATCTGCTGCACTCCATGGCGGCTGGCACTGAAAGCTACCGCAGAAGCTCCTAACCAGTGCCAAGCCGAGCTCAGAAACGAAAGCGGCAAAGCTTTGCGACACTATCGTTCATCAGCGCCACACTCTGAGAGACGGCCACCAAGACGGAAGGCGTGCAAGTACAGACTTTTCTTCAAATTCGCCTGCTAGTCAGACTGCGGGTGCCGAAGGTTGATAACAACTGCTTGCATCATGCAGCTTCGCTACATGAGCACAGCAGTGAAGCCGCAATTTGCAACGACGCTTCTAGACATCTTTGTTTCCACTGCATTCTTGACGAACCGACATTGCCTGTCATAGACTTGATTCACTTCAAGGACGAAAGCACAGCTTTGCTACTGCTCGGAATGGGGCTTCGGCATCAGCTGCCTGGCATGCTCGATGGCTGCGTTGATATGCTTCAACTTCATGCCATCAAGCAGCCCAGACACGGACTGAAAGTCGAGCTCAGGGATTTTCCTCGTGGCATACTCCGCAAATCCGCTCACCTCCTCTTCAGCATCCCATGTGCGATCATGAAGAAGGAAACGCATCACGACACGCCGTAGCACGTCTAGCACCACGCCTGCGGCATCTCCGTCCCAGACTTTCATTTGGGGCAGGAGTGAGGAGAGCTCTGCACAGTAGGGCTTGGGAAGAGAGTGCTGCTGCAATGCCTCGTCAGCTGCATAAAGTTCCACGACCTCGAACAAGTGAACCAAATGCTTCACCAGAAGGCCTCTACACTCCAATTGGCTGGTCAAGTGATGGAGGTGTGTCTCGTGGAGCCATCGAGCACAAAAGTCAGACACGGCAAGCTCGGGCTGTGGGGACAAGCGTCTGACAGAAGCAATCGCAGCCTGCAAGGAGCATAGGAGGTTCAGCGCCGATCCCGAGTCCAACAGGAACTGGCGGGGCTCGTCAGGACTCGGCTCTTGCGCGACTTGCGCCACCGCCTCCTCCAAAAAACCATAGCTGTGCAGGAAGGCCTCCCCAGAGAAGGGGAACGGGTCAATGGAGGTATCGAGATGAACGGCCTTCTGTAGGACCTTCTCGGCGAGCTGTTGCTCCAGAAGCTCCCAGTCAAAGACGCAGGTCGAGCCTGAGACGAGCAGGTCAGGACGCTCGATGTCGGCTGGGGTGAAGCCGGAGGTTTCCCAAGCGGCCAAAGCCCCAGCACTGCCGGCAAGTTGGAGCTGCTCTGATAGGCCGAGATGCCCACCGTGCACCAGATGCAGCGGGTCCAAGTCTTGCATCTTCACAACTGGCAGGGAGACCCTACCCTGATGGAACCAATATTCCGTGACGCTGCGCACACGCCGTGCGCTCGGCCCGTCCCTGTGGCCTGTGGCAACCTCAAGGCAAGTCTCCACAAAGGTGTTCTGACGAAGGGCCAGGTCGTTCACCAAGGCCAAGACATAGGAGCCCTCCTCTGTTGTCTCGTCTGCACAGCTCAGGCTCAATGGACTCTTGGCCGACATGGGGCCAACCGCAGTGAGGCTCTTGCACCCATGGCGCTGCATGCAACCTGCATCCCTGCACCTCGCCCAGGCTGTGCAGAATCTGTCGAAGAGCTGCCGGCCGCGAGCCGCCGTGGTCAATGCCCCTCGTGTTTCGGGCATCTGGCCGATGTTGTGGCCATGGCCATCCTCCAACTTCTGCAAGGCTTCGTACACCGTCATGCGAGCCTCATGCCGCGCCACCTTGAAGCCGAAGTGGTTCTGGACGAAACGGAGCCAATCTTGCACTACCACCAGGTCGTTGGCAAGTTGAAGGTCCTGGCGGGCTTGCAACCAGGCTGCCAATAGCGGGTACCTCTCAGACAAGGCCGCTTTGGACTGGAATTCCCTTTCCAACTTCGGAAGCGAAGGCTTCTCCGCCAAGCGCAACATCCGACAGCAGAAGAGCGGGGCCTCGTCGCACACTGTGCCCAAGACCGCTGCAAGGGCTCTCTCCACTGGCTTTGGCGTGTTGCTTGGGTTCTTTGCCGAACTTGCTGCTGCTGTCCTTCGCCCCTTCGGCTGGAATCGATATATCTTTGGCTCCTCCCCGGAATAAATTTGCCATGGCTGGCTAGGTCTTGTGAAGTCGCGGTCATCTCCCCAAACAGGCCTGTACTCTGGAAAGCTATTGCGATCAAAGGTCTCATCGCTGACGAGGCGGAAGCCTTGGTTGTTTGCACGCTGCTGGATGTGCCATCGTGTATACTGGCTCTTCAACAAGGTCATGCAGAAGTAGCCATCGGGCGTCAAGGACGACTTTACGCCTCCAAACAACCCATCGATGAGGGCACCATGGTCCGAGCATGTGATTTTTGAAGCTGCGTCATCAAAGGTGCCTCCGTGGGGGAAGTTGAAGATGATTACGTCGAACTTCTGCGCTCCAACTTCAGAGCTTTGTAAGATGGTGCCATCGATGCCAGCCAACAGTCGAACTCCGAGCGCCTCCAAGTCCTTAGAGAACCACGGCGCACTGGGCAGGAGGGCTCAACCTCTGGGGTAATGCAGGGGCCTTAAATGACTAGAATAGAGTTTTGGGGGATATATTATACCATAATTCTAATAAGGAATCCCCAAAATAGTATAGGTAATTTTTGGGGTTCCCTATTATACTTATAGTATAATATGCCCAAACCCTAGGGTCCGGGATCAAGCTCCCCAGCAGCGGGGCCAATAGCCAGGGACCCCAGTGCCTTTCGACAAATGGGGACGCCATGAGCCGCAGCTGAACATATGCATCGACGATAGATCCCGACAAGTGTGTGGAGTTGGAGCTCCTCTTCAAGATGGGCCACTGCGCAGGAATCCGGAGCGGTGTTAAGGAAAGAGTTCCCCCAAATGAAGCGGACTTGGCCACCGCGGACGTGAGGACTTGCGGACCGTTCACAGCAGCTGCAGCAGAAGACGTAATCAAGAGAGGGTTAAAGCTCCTCTATGTCAAGCAATGCAGGTTGATGTGCTTCATCGGGAGGCTGGTCGCCAAGATGGGCAGCGACTTCCTCCCTCGAGGTACTGATGGAAGGCACCGAACCGCACGTGGTGGTGGTTGGTGTTGAAAGCGCTGGCTTCGTGCAGACCACCGTGGTGGCTGTTGTACGCAACCTGAAAAGTAGTGGAGTGTTTTGCGCTGCTCGGCGGACGCGACTACACGCTGCCAACCAGGTGGGAGCCATGTAGACATGTGCCGATGGAGGCTATGCTCTCGGGAACGCGGTTTATCCTCGCTCCGACTTGGAAATCATCCACTGTGCCAGTTTGCTTAAACGAGCGCGCTACCTGGGTTGAGCTGCGTAGCGACAATCGCTGCAGTTCCCCGTCAATCGATATTTTGTTCGTTGTTTGCTCGGCATGCATGTCTGTATATACGCTGTCACTGTACACGGCTCGTGCGTCGGAGCCGGCATAGTTTGTTTAAAGCAACCATGTGGGGTTTGGTCTTGCAGTTTGCGTCCCCCGGCCCCTGGAGGAATAGGCTCAGGACTTTGAGTGCTTGGTAGCCGGTCGCTACGGGTTCTGCTGCCCATAGTAGAACCCTTGTAGTGCTCTAGCCGATGCTATGTTCCTAAGCTTCGCTTGTTTGAGTTTTGAGCGCTGGAGATACGGCTTTTGGCTCGCGTAGCTGCCGGGTTATAGGCTCCTCGCGCACCCCTCGGGAAGGTCTGATTTCTGCGCAGCTGCCGCAAATCGGCGCTTGCGCATACAGACACCCGTGGGCTTCCAGAATTCATTTTTGCATTAGGCGCGTTCGTTATGGACCGTCAGCCTCACGAAAGAAAGATGCCCAAACCCTATTCTAATTATTAAGGCCCCCTATATTACAACAGAAGCCCCAAGGCCGAGGATCTGCAATCTCCGTGAGGATCCGGTCATCCAATCTGCTGTAGCCTCGTAGGCGGAACTCGTTTGAAAAGAAGTGCTTTGCTATGCTTTGCTTGCTACATTGCTAACGAAACTCAATAAACTGAAAAGGAGAGCCATAACACTTGATTTTGCACATTTCCAAGTCGCAACATAAGGTTATCTGCCGTATTTGCCGCTGCAAGGCATGAAAGATACAGCATGTAGTGCACGCAGACAGCGGTACGGAGAGTTCATCTCCGAAACTGAGCATGTGCGCTGACTTGCATACATGACGGTGCATCTAGCGATTTGTTCTCCTTCTGTCCGCTGCAGTGTCTGGGTGCATCTTTGCCTATCTTCCTATGAAGCTCTCTTGTCTATCCTCTCTCTGCTTATCATTGGATAGTCGCTAAGGGTTTCCTCCTCTCTCTCTCTCTCGCTTTCTCTCTGCCTTTTCCTCGGGGCTTGTACACGCACGGACCTGCTCATCAAGAGGTGTTCGCCCTGAATCTCGAACGGGCATCCAACATCTTTCTCCTTGCGGCTACGAACAGCTACCCCATGCCTCTCGTTCACGATCAAAACGACAGGCTGCGAACTGTGCACTCCGTCGTGGCAGCATCTGCAGCCTGTCTCTCTCTCTATCTCTCGTCTGTCTTTCTTTCGCCAGGGTTAGGGGCAAGGGGGTTTCCCCCCATGCCCGTCTGTCTCTGTCTCTCTCTGTCTCTCTCTGTCTCTCTCTCTCTCTCTCTCTCTCTCTCTGTGGCATCTACTTGAAAGATCATGGGAGTTAGTAAGTAGCGCTATAGGTACCCTACTTAGGGTTACAAGTAGATATAACAAAAGTTACCTTACCTATAATCCGACTTGCTACGTCCCCTGATCCTCCAAGTACAGCCTGGGCCTTAGGCATTTTCAACATGCGCAAAGTTCGAGTGCTGGATGTCGAACGTTCGGCAGCTCCATGGTATAAACCGTTCTTCCCTGCTAGTATTCTAAACAGGCATAGTCATGACGATAATGCAGAAAAATAACCACACGAACGTTCATCATGGACGCATGCGAGACTTCAGCAGTATAGCAAGCATCATGAGCATTGCATTGCTGTGCGGCTCATGGCACAGATCAACCTGAATACTCATAGAGGAGCAAGATGAACCTAAATCGCAGTAATGCCAGTAGCAAGAGCGCTCGGCAATCTTCAGAACAGTTGCAAGCAGTTGCATGTGATGAATATAATGTAGGGGTCTTACCAATTAGAATCAGGTTCGGGGTATATTATACTATAATGATATTAGGGAACCCCCCGAACCCTATTTTAATTTCATTGAGGCCCCGATATCAGCACAGGTCAGGATGCCGCTCCCAAGGGCACCAGAAGCTTGCAGCCGTGCAGCGGGCTTTGACCACATCGATGGGCTCCAAGGTGGAGGTGGTGAGCCCTTCGATTTCGGAGTGTGGGCTAAGGCTTTCCCCGTCAAGGGCCTCTCTTGGAGGAGTTTGCAGATGTTGTCTGAATTGAAAGTTGGCTTTGGAAACCTTTGGTTCAGCACGGATCTGCAATCGTGGCAAGCACTGCTTATTTAAGGGGTGTCGGACTCTGTGGGAGATTGGGAGATTGGTGTGCCTTTGGTTGGAGCGAACAGCTTCCATGCAGCGGAGTGTAATCGAGCTGTTGCAGCCGAGGTTGGGGCTAACACCGGGATCCGAAATCCGAAGGCCGTACACTGCATGGCTTCCGCTTCCTACTGCCCGCATGATGCTTCACACTGAGAGTGCAGGCAAAAAGTGTGGCAGATACTAGGTCACTAGGTCTCAACAAGCTGCGGCGATCGCAAAAACTGCAGTGGGCGGAGCCTGTCATGACGTTTCATCTTAAACTCACTAGACTCCGGATGAAGAATAGCGACATTTGACCAAACATTCAATAGCAAACTCGCACCGAACTCATCAAACAACATAATACAGAAAAACTACAGAAAAAACTCCCTGAAGCCCAACTCCTTAAACTCTAAAGCCCTAAACCCCACAAAACCCCCTCAACGCCAGGTAGGGGCCCCGTCCTTCAGGACCCCGGGCCCGAGCCAAGCTCAGGGCGAAGGTGAAGTTCCCAGCTCCCAGCTCCAAGCACCTAAGGCGCTTGCTTTCAGGGTTTCAATGGGGGGTTTAGGGTTTAGGGTTGAGGGCCCTAGCTTGCTTTAAGGGTTTCAAGGGGGGAGTTTAGGGTTTATGGTTGAGGGCGCTAAGCACCTGCTTTAACTTGCTTTAAGGGTTTCAAGGGGAAAGGTTAGGGTTGAGGGCTCCAAGCACCTAAGGCCTCGCTTGGGAAATGTCAAGAGGAGTTTAGGGTTTAGGGTTCTAAGCACCGGTGTGGCTTCTTCTAAGGCTTTAAGGCATCCAGCTGTCAAGGCTTGAAGTTGGGAGTTTGGTTTTGAGCTTGAGAAGTTTTCAGGCGTCTGCGAGATTTCGGGCCTTTGCTGAAGGCTTTGTAAGGCTCACAAAAGAGATTCGTTAGGCCTCTGCGCGGCACATGCGATGGCATTCAGGATGCAGGTGCTTCATGGCTGGAGGGCTCAGGTGTTCGGCTGCCAAATTTTCTTAAGCTCTACTGAGTACTCCACTGGTAGGGCTCACGGTTCAAGGTCTAGCATTCTGAGCACACCATTGGAAGATTTTTTATTCTGGAATGTTTGTCCACAGCCTTGCAACTTGCGAGCTTGCAGCCACGAGGGACCAATCGGTGGGCTTGAGATGCTTCCGCGGAGCCACCTGCAATGATACCCCCACACCTATGGAGGCTCAGGGCTGAAGGGGTTTTGGCCTTGGGATTCAGTCTTTTTGGTGGGGTTCCTTCACACCCTGCAGACCCTGCAGGGTCTCAGGAGTCGCAGGCCTTGCTCATCCGTGGTCGCATCCCGGGCCGCACGCGCGCTCAGCGGAGGGAGGCGATCCAACAGGAGGAGCGGCAAGGTCTCCTCTGTTCGTTCGTAGAAAAAGGCTTCCTACAGAAATACTGTCTTTGCCTCGCGCCAGAACAGAGAAGCATAGACAGATTAATAGGAAGAGAAGCATGCTGCGGCAAAGCTTCAGGCCCCAAACCCTCCAACCCCGAGCAGCTGGGCCTCTGCATGACCAGCAACTCGGTCCCAGCTGAGCTGGGCATCAAATTCGGCTCTCTGCGCGTTCTCTACGCAGGGCTCGATCATCACCTCTCAGGATCCCGAGTTTGTGGAATGACAAGCGCACGACAACTGCTCGGGGATGCACATCGCAGCACATCGAAACACTGCTTGGAGGATCATGGGGACTTAGTAAGTAGGGATAAAAGAAATGTAACTATGGCTATATCTACTAATAACCCTATTTAGGGTACTTATAACCCTACTTACTAAGTCCCCCGATCCTCTAAGTGGGGCTTTCGTTTCAGGCGACCAGGAGCCTCGGCAAAATGCCGTTCCCATCGCAGGCGCTCCTTTTGCGTCATCACCGTCTGTGCGGTCGATCGGGAAGTGAACATCAGTCTGCCTGTGCCGAGCACGCCAGGATGAGCACACAACGGCTCACAGCACTCACTCAAGCTTCAGGAAGAAACCGCGCCTGAAACATCCATCAGAAAGCCGGCAGGACAAGCTCCCAGGATTTGAGTAAGGACGTCCCAATCGGCCCTGAGGTGTTCCAGAATTCCTGCCACGTTCTGGACGGCCCAAGCAGAGGTGTCCCAAAGCTTCGTGAAAAAGGACGAGTGCAGCAAGAAGTGCAGGGCGCGGAAGGATAACGGAGAGATGCTTCTCACCGAAAGGCTGCGCTCGCGAGAAGCAGGATGTGGAAAGTATCCTGCGAAGCACACTGCTAGCTTCTACCCCTATCGTCTCCGATTCAGCTTGTGCTGCCGCTTCAAGAGATCAATAGTAATTAGTAAGTACGGCGGAGTCGATCATGCTCCGTTCTACAACAGGAAAGCCCGATTTCGAAAGGCTGGCCTTGCTTGGACTGCAGAGTTGCAGGGGTGACGACTGGAGATGCATCAACGCGTCTGTTGCCATGCCGGGCGTACTCGTACCCACCGATGCGACGTCGACATTGAGGGCACGTGCTTTCCTGCACGGCTTGCCCGCAATCTGCGACGATGAACCTGTAGCCACACTGGCACTCGTACCGGGTGTGCCCATGAAAACGTGCATTGGCATAGCCCTCGTTCAAGGCTTGCAGGATGACCTGCAGCGAGGAAGGGGCACCGGACAAGGACAAAGGATGCTTCTGTTGAAAAGAGTCGGGTGTTGCGGGTTGCATGCCTGCTCTTCGTCGTCCGGCATGGCAGGCAAAAACATGCCTGCTCCCCCGTCGGCAGCAAGCTTCAACGGATGCGACAGGCCTGCAAACAAGAGGTTCGCTCCTTACCATGTCATGTGGCACCAAGCCAAGAAACTGCATCCCCCATGCCCTCAATCACTAGATCCAGCAAAGTTGTATTACAGTAGAAGCTTCGGCTTCTGGAAACCTCTGGAGCCACAAACAGCTGGAAGCCTGAGATGGGGGCTGCCGCGATGGCAGCTGCCACGTGCAAGCTAGTGAGGAGCGGGAGCTGCTCAGCCAGATCTCCCGCCTGATGGCCACGAAACATCCGGGGGGCTGCTCAATGATGGTACCCTGTGGGTGGATTCTCTCGGAAAAAACCAGGATCTTGACCGGAATTGTCTTATGGAAAGGAGTTAGAGGGGAGTCGACTCCAAGGGGGCCTACAGAAGTCTGCTAGACGTGCAATCTAACCAAACAGACTCCAGAACAACTTGACACCGGCTGTTGTGCTTCAGATTGTCTAGGATGACTGCCGTCAGGCTTGGCTTTGAGGGCTTAAACTTCTCCTACCCCTACCTACCTACCTACTCACCTACCTACCTGCCTACCTTCCTTCCTACCTTCCGACCTACATACATACATACATAAGTGAATATATATATATATATATATATGTATACACATACATACGTTGGGCTAAAGTACCACCCCAGAAACGGCAGCACGCAAGACCCTCTTGCCAGCTTGTTTTTCGCTCTCGACGCATCCCAAAAAAACAGCCCAGCGCGCTTCTAACTCTGCCCCCTACAATGCAAACCCTAAACCCTAAACCCCAACACCCTTACACCCCAAAAACCCTTAAACCCCAAAACCCTAAAAACCCCAAAACCCTTAAACCCCAAAACCCTAAAAAACCCAAAACCCTAAAAACCCCAAAACCCCCAAAAACCCCAAAACCCTTAAACCCTAGACCTCAGAAAAAGGGCACCGGCCTGCAGGCCCTGGCGGAGAGGCGCAGGCAGCCCCTCGAGGTGACACCTGCGGAAAGGGCGGCTGAGACTCAAAGACAAAGAAACGTCAACTGAGGCGTACTCAAGCCCTTACCCTCAAAGGACTCATATTTGAAGGCTTTTGGGCCCAAAGAACCTATTAAAAACGGCTTCTGGGCTATTTTGATGCTAAAGGAAAGGACCCAGGACTCAGCAGGATTGCGTCCTTCGTCAATAAGCCGTATAAAAGAAAAAGGTCGCTGAGGGGCATGTGGTCACGGGTTACCGCTATACCTCTGTACAAACACATCTGAATATAAGTACAAATGCTCAAACGAAGAGACATAAATAAGTAAACTAAGAAAACATACACGTACATAAATAAATAAATAAATAAATAATAAATAAATAAATAAATAAATATATATATATATATGTATACATACATATATATATATATATGTATACATACATATATATATATATAGAGATACCTACATACTGTACACGCATTTCCACAAGATGCATCTAGGTGTTGTATGGTGGACTTCGCCTCATCAGGGCCGGTAGGGATCGCAACTCCGGCTGCGAGGCGAGCCAGCGCCGCCCCTGCTCCCGCAGCTCCCGGTCTGGCCCCTGGCGCTTCAAGGGCTGTAGTATGATGGTATATCATAGTATATCAAAGTATATCATAGTATATCAAAGTATTTCAAAGTATATCATAGTATATCATAGTATATTACAGTATATATTATGGACAAACATAGTATACTATAGAAGAATATAGTAAACCTTAGTATGTTATAGTACCATAGTATATCATAGTACACCATAGTCGCGCAGCTGGGATTTGTCGATTTGGGTCTCCTGCTTTAGTTAATGTTCGAAGTTTAGTGGGTTGAAGCATAAGGTGTGGGTTTTTTTTTTAACGAGATTTGATTTTCGGGTATCGGTGAAGATGTCGGGGCTTTGGGGAATGTGCTTTAGGAGGTCGGAGGAGAACCGTCGACCCACTTCCCTGATTCCCTGCAACGGGTTTCTTGCCGCATGTTGGAAGTTGGTGGGCACACATATGACTCAACTGGCAAACCACTTTCGTCCTTTAGTTCTGTGAATGCGGAGCTATCAATTTGGAAACAGCTCAGCCGCCGGCCCCCAAGACTAAAATCTGAAGTCATCCTAAAGGCGAGCAAACAAGCTTGCACAAGCTGAAAGCAACAGCATGACTCTCAACCCCAAAGTCAAGATGCTGCTCGTCGGAGCCCCTCAAAACCCTCGTGCATTCTGGGCCAGCGGGCCGGATCCGAGCACAACAGGTTCGAGGAGGCGGCGAAGAAGCCGAAACGCCAGATGCCCGCGTCTGCCTGACAGGCTCAGGCACCACCCTCCCCGGTTCTTCGTAGGGACTGGGGGAAGGGATGAAAGGGACTGCTAAAAGGGACCATCCTAGGGATCCACACCCCTTTTGCCGACTAAGCCTGGAACCTCGGGTTCAGTGCTGGAGGTCTTGGGCTTTGACGTGAAGCCGCCCGAAAACTTAGGGACATTCTGCAAAAGGATGAACGGCCAGCGTAGCCGTAAGGACACAAAGAAGGTTCGTCTCGACACTTCGTTCAATGCCACAATTGTGATGACAGCAGTGGACTCTTTGAAAGTTTGGCTTCATGGACACGTGCTCGGATCTTTGCAGACCGTACCGACATGGCTTTTCACGAGGATGCCCTAACCTGCCCAAGGATTGATCCGAACGAGTTTTCTGAGGCCTTCGCGCCTGTCTGTGCTTTGTTTGGCTACCAGCTCCTGCGCTCCTCTTTGCACCACAAACGGTTGGTGCATGAAGTGTATAGGAAGAGGCGTCCAGTACAATACAGACAGTCAGCCTAACACATAGCAGGAAGATCGGTATTCACATCGCGGCCGTCCTGAAAGAAGCAAGCCGAGGGCCAATACCGCGTAGCTGCACCCTCAAAAGGCAGGAGCTCAGCAGGCCGACTAAATTCGATCTCCTCTTAGATTTGGAAACCTCTAGTCCATGAGACACTGTTCCAAGGGACAGAGCTTGGAGCTTGAGCTTTAGACGCATTGTTGCAGCCCCTCCAAAACCTCCAAACACCCGAAATACAGAAGTCACACTTGAGTACCTCCAGTGACACTCCTATCGTTTGGGGATTGAAGCCTTCTCGACGATGGCGGCCAAGTCGGAGGTTTGCCGCAGCTGAAGCGCTCGCTCGATGACCTGAGCTTTCGTAGTTTTGACTTCCGATCGAAAGGACTTTTGTCTGAAGGCTGGGGGTGCAGGACATGTGAAATTGAGAAGTGTGACGGCTCATGGTTAGAATCTCTGCCCGGGATCTCCCGAGCTCGGCTTCAAAGCGAAGGATTGAATATTCGAGCTTCAACCAAGAAGGGGATCCGGATCAGATTCTACACTGCAAGATCTTTCTAGAAACGCCCTTGAAAGGAACCCTAAACCCTAAACCCTCAGAAGGGTGGAAAGGTCGCAAGAACGAGGCACCTGTGCAGACTCGACCGCCTCGGGGCAAAAGCCACCCAAAAAGGTCGGGAGGTGCCCGGCAAGTTGGGGCATGTCGCCTGCCGACGGCACAATATGGGAGCCTAAATGAAAGCCAGCAAAATGGGGCCTTGGGGGTTTCTAATGCTATAGGGGAATAGTGTAGTATAGGAGCCTAAACGAGTTATTAGAATAGGGTTTTGGGGTAGATTATGCAGCAATTCTAGTAAGGAGCCCTTAAGGGATAGTTTTAGTAATTGCTCTCACTTCTATACTTAAGCAGTCATGTATGCATTTGTGTCGGCATAAACATGACTCCCCGACTGACCGCCTGATTGACCGACCAGCTAAACCTTTAAGTAAGTGAAACAGAAAGACACATGTTTATATGTGTCCATGTATGTACATATGTATGTGTACATGTGTGCACACCTATATGCTGCTGCACGAGCACCTTCGCATGTGCCCGCCCACCTACCTAACCGGCAACAATTGTGCACACATGTGCATGAAGAAGTCGTTGGGCAGCTTCTTTATTTGTATACATCGGTATCTCTATCTGGCTGTCAGCCTGCATTCGGTCCATGCTGTGTACATGTATACCAGCATGTGTGGTTGAGTGTTTGCTGCGATGTTTGCTGATCCCCTTATTCTCCTGCCTGCCACTTGCTTTCGACCGTCACTCCTGTGCCGCTTGCCGCATCAGACCGGCCTGGAACTGGCAAGGACTCCTTCAACCACGGCACCGGGCTGCAAAGCTCCACGGTCGTTGCCATGTTTCCGGTGCGGGCATGCACCTCATGGAAGAGATGAAAGGTGTAAGGTTATGCAAGCTGAGCGAATACTTGAAGCAGCAGAAGTCGTCGGCGGGGGCTGAAGATGAATTGCAAAAGTTCATTCTGACTCTCCTACCAGGGAGAGCCTCCCTCTCCTCGCAAAAAGCCCGGCACTCTCAAGGCCAAGCCCTGTTCCGACTCTTAATGTGAGCACCCCCAATTTTAAGCCCCCTCCCTCACCCATATTTTACCCAGCCGCCTCACGCAGGACAGAATTCCGCAGGCAGGTGCCCAGTGCTCGCTGGAGCCCACCAGCGGAGCCTCGCTCCGTTTCTGTTGGTAGTCGCGCAGGTTGTAAGCTTGAGACCTCCTTACGGTTCTTCTCATACGAGTTAAATACTCGTTCCACTGAACTCTACAACAAGCAGCCTGGTGGTGCAACAGCTCCGAACAAACGCGTCCATACCCAAAAGCAAACCAAAGCCGATGAGCATGCTGCCGGTAGTAAGCAAGCAACCATAGGTTTAGGGATTAAGATTTCGGGCTCCTTGCAGCCAAAAGCAGGTCCGAAACCGTCCCCAAATCCGACAATTTCAAAAGTGTTCATGACCGCACCTGCTGTGCAAAGTCGGGCCAGCGCGTGACCCAAGCCATCCCAGGCCACTGGACTGTCCTCAGCTCTTTTTGCCTTCGCAATCTTATAATTCCGGTTGGGTTTTGGAGCCCAGATTAGAGGTATACAAGGCCCCTTTTTACCAATTTTCAGACCTCCAAACATTTGAGATAGACAACTACGACGGCACATGCAAGTCATTCACGACAGCCGAGTGTAACGAAAGGTGAAAATTATGCAATCGCACGGGAGGCGGATTTGAACTTCACGACCTAGTGTAGCTGTGGCATGAGGGTTTCAGGGCTGACCCTAATTCAGAAATTTGCGTAGCACTAAAACCCACAAACCAAAATCAAGCACTGTGCGATTAACAAAATCAAGGAACCCTCAAAGATTTAAGGTAGGGCTACTTGCACTCGTGAAAGAAAGGTAGGCCAATACCCCGTGGTGAAGCACTATATCTCAAGTCATGTTGAGGACCTCTTCATGAATCGCGGAGTACCAATTCCCGTTGAAGAAGTATTGGGCTCTACGGGAACTGGTGCATTAACCATAAAACCATTAATCAAGTCCACTGTAGGGGCCTTATTAATTAGAATAGGGTTTTGGGGCATATTATACTAGAATAACAGGGAGCCCGCAAAATAGTATAGGTAATCATTAAGGCCCCTATGTTACTGCCGGGAAGCACTGGAGAGGAGCGAGGCCGCCCGCGTTGCCGCTGCACGTAGCACGGCAGCTGCGACCACGTGCTGCAAGCCGAAACTCGATCTCCTGGGTGTTTGAGAGATGGGAGTTTCCGAAATAGGGGACCCTAATATAGTACCCTAAAAAATAGGATCCTTATTAAAAGGTCCCCAAAATAAGGTACCCTAATTTTCGGAAACCACCAGATGTACCACTTCCTAGTCTACACGGAGGTTTGGCTGCTTTTTTCACGTCCTCAGTCCTTGGAAAACCAAGCTTTCAAGCCCGAGCCCGAAGCTGGGCTCTGTGTGACAGGTGCTTTGACTGTCTGGTGCTTAGTAGGATTGCTTCTTGTGGTTTGTGTAAACTGCCACGGAAGCCGAGCGTCTCGAAGCTTCGCAAAATCTCCGCGGCAAGGAGCACGGCCGTGGCTAACCCGACCACCTCGCCACCGCTGTTGGCTGCATCCTGATGGAGATCGGATGCTCTGGCATTTACTGGGTTCTAAGGCTAAGGTCTTGGGTTCACACGAGTTGACGATGTCGAGAGCTTTGGACCACAGATTTGTCTGATTGAAGCTCTCTGTCTCCTGCCTGCAGCTTCCTTTTCGATGGAAAAGGGCAGTATGATTATCAGCTGCAGTGGCTCTGCCGGTCATTACGAGTCAAGAATCTGGTTGAAGCTTGCAGTTTGCAAGATTGTACGGGGCCGCTCCATGCAGAGGGCTGTAACGGGATCCTCATACATCTCCCCGAATAAACGCTTATGTAATCTTTGAACCTGATGTGATAGAATATAACAGAAAAGGATTGACTGTGTTCATACAAACGCACGTTACTTCATGTGTGCCGCAGTCCCTCTGGCCATCTTCTCGGTAAACACCCAGGCCCCTTTCAGCCGAGCCCGAAAACCCGAAACTTCTCCGATTCAGCCTTGGACCTCGAAGCTTGGGCTGGGGATTAGAGATCCCTCTGATTGAACCTCTGAAATGTCTAGAATACAACTGGTCCAAAGTGAGAAGGACAGACACCTCAATTTCTGGACAGGGGTCCAGGTGTAGCCAGGGAAGGCCAAACTCCTCGATCTCGATGCAGAGCACGGCATTCAAGGGACCTGATTCGGGTCAAGAAAAGAAACACCCAACGCAGGATTTTGCGATGCCTCCCTCGAGACTACTTCAGGCCGCCTACAAAGTACGGTAGGCAATCTAGTCCGGTCAGGACTCATGTTACGAGTGGTTCGGTCATCTGAGACTGTGCACCTGAAGGCCGGGGGGTGCAAGCCCCGAGCACAAGCTACGGGCTCCCATGCTCTGTGTGCCTCCACATGAAGAGAAGACCCAGAAAGAGGTGCCTGAGCATCTCTCAACCCGAAACCTTCTTGCTTTGCAGCCTGCTGGGCCAGCAGAGCAAGCGAGTTCCTGCAGCGTTCGCAGCGCTGTGCTCGGCGTGCTGCGGCCTTGGAGTGAAGAATATAAGCGGAGCAAACGTGGGAACTAAGTGTGGGTTCTGCTGCAGCCTGTCGCTTAGATGGTCTCGGTGACTGAACCGGGCTTTGGGTTTGGACTTGTCTACCGAATTCCGGGCTTTGGTGAAGCCCGGGATTGTTCGATGGTTGAAGTTGGGCTTGTTCTGCCACGTCGCTCGCCGCACTGGCAGACCTCAGGGAACAAGGTGCTTAGCGATTGCTGGCTGCACCCTAGTTGGCTGACAACTGTAATTCGTCTTGGTATCCCCTGTCAGTCCCTCCAAAGATATAGTATAGTCGCAAAGCCTTCTTGCAATTATCAAGGCCCATGTCTGCATCCTAAGCTGGCTCAGAGTGACACAACATTTGTGATCCGAAGCACCGTAAAAGGTGGATTAGAGTTTCGGGTTCACAATTGGCTTTGTGATAGGGATTCTTTTTGTGCCCCAAGCACCTCAAGGCCTCCAGCAAGCACCTGGAGTTTTCCTGGCAGGCTCCACGGACCAAGCTGCGCAGCTGCAGCGCCGATGCAACGACGGGGACCCCGCTGGTGAGGCTGTTGACGATGGCGTCTGAAACACCGTGGGGAATAAGCTGCTGGTAGGTGGAGAGCTGGAGATGCTGCAGACTGCTCTGGTCCATGTGGGCTTGGGCACCGTGCAACAAGCGCTCTACAAGTTGCTGCAACGCTGTTGGACGCTTGATTGGTGTTTCCAACTTCATCGATCGCCAGAATTCGGTCACATCCGTTTCTAGCCGTTGGCTGACTTCCACCATGATGCTCAGGGCACTCACGCTGACAGGCTGTGCTGCAGAGTGCTGTGACGCGCAATCCAGGGCGCTTCGCGCTGCTGCAAGCACACGCCGGGCATTGGGGAGCCAGCCCGTGTTCGTGGTATTCAGGGCTTCGGAACAAGGATGCAACGCGGAACAGGCGTGATCTGAGACCAGGTGCATCAACCTCGTCATGTCCGACGCCACCAAGTGCCGCTCCTGCCCGATCCTTAGGGGTTTCATGCGACTCACAATGGCAGCAATCTAAGCACCCACTTTCCCAGTACTCGCTCGCCTGACCGACACCCTCACCGGAACAAAAAACGCGACAACTCCCCAAAAACCTATACCACATCCTCCGGGTCCGAACCCCTTGGTAGGCACCTGAACCCTCCAAAAAAAACCAGCAATTCCAGGTGCCAGAACTAATCCCAATATCCCTTAATTGGGGAATAGACCTTGCGTTGTAGGGGTTTTCATAGTATGGTTTAGTGTATATTCCTTAGTTAAGGGGTCTTGGGATCTCTGGGATCTCTGGGTACTAAACTTGTCGAGGCTCATGGAGGCCATGAAAGCTTCGAGATTTCTGAGCTGGGTTGGGACGGCCGCAAGTTGCCGCAGCACCGCCTGGAGGGTGCCCTGGTGGCACCACAAGAACTGATGAATCTCCGGTACCTGAACGATAAGGGAGTTTCCGAAAATTAGGGGTACCTTATTTAGGGGTCCTTATAATAAGGATCCTATTATTTAGGGTGCTATATTAGGGTCCCCTATTTTCGGAAACTCCCATAAGGAAAACTAGGCTTAAGGGTTTGAGAAGCTTGAAGTTTGCTTTAGACGTACTGGCCGCACAGGCGTGGTGTAAGACGACATCAGGCTCGAGAGCTTCGGCTTCGGATCCGGCAGCTTTTCGAACTCTGCATTCTAGACTGTGAACCGCTTCTCTGGCCTGTCTAACATAATTGGTGTGCTCACACATACCATTGCCGTCCAGGTGCACCCCAGTCTTCAAAAGCAGATTGCTCCTGGAAGCGAAACAACCGACACCTTACACTTCGTACCCCAAATTCCCAAACCCCTAAAAAACACTAAGGTTTAAGTCCCCGAAAATCTGAACCCCTGAACCCCTAAATCCCTGAACCCTAAACCCCTAAATCCTTAAAACCCTAAACCCTTGACGGCTCCTGGAAGATCGGTTGAAGAATCCGGAGCTGCTCGGCCTGGGGAAGGGGCACCGCCGTCAGCTTCACGACCGCCAGGTCCTGGACGTAGGCCTCTGAGGGTGGTCTCTGGTGGCTTCGGAGTTTCCTATTACAATGTTTTTCTTGAAAGTGCAGTGTTACAATGTTTAGGGTTTAGGGGTTTAGGGTTTAGGGTCTAGGGGTTTAGGGAATTAGAGGTTTAGGGTGTGCTCGGAGATTCCCTAATCCCTCCCAGGTACTTACTCTATAGGGTACCGGAGCCCCCTAAGGCGCTATATAGTAGGTACCTGGAGGGTTAGGGATTCCTGATCTATTTGGAGTTCACGGTTAAACATCATGTCCGACCAGCCACGTCATTCAGATACTGTCATGTCACATGCTCTGATCTTGTGCAAGGCTTAATCGTAGCGTCAGATCGTTTGGGCAACCAGAGCCACGCCTGCCGGTGCTGCCGCAAGAGCTCCATCCACTGGTCAGGAATGGCCGCCTCCATCGCCAGCCGGAAATCCCTCAGCGCCGGATTCCCTGGATCCATCTTCTGGAGCTGGTGCTCGAAGAAGATCGCGCGGAAACCGTCCAGCTTCTCTGCGAAATAGGCGGCGAAGGGCACATGGAGAGATTGCAGATGCTGCCGGTAAGGGTAGCACTCGGAGTTCTTCGGGGGAGCCACGCCCTGCAATGACACGACCTGGTCACAGATCTCGAACCAGGCATTGCGCAAGTCGCACTCTTCCTGGTAGAACTTGAGGGTCTTCAGTGCGCAGAGGTTCCTCACAGGCACTCTTACAGGACTGCAGGCATTAGACACCTCAAGTTTATACATCCCAAGGCCCTTGCTGTGCGCTGTCAACCTGAAACATGGCTACAGCTAGGACAAAACCCACAGTCGATGCTACCTGTCCGTACAACCTCTGTCCATAGTGCAGGCGGTGGACATTTCAACAAAAATCAGGGCTGATGTGTTGTAAGTTTGCAGGACACCAAGATGAACCCGAAAGTGAAACCTGAAGGACTTCTGCTCCACGAGCCAGGTGTGCGCACACAGACACATGCGCAGAAGCAACACAGATTTGACCCAATGAAGCCGAACTCGAAACCCTGCGACCCTAAACCACGAACTCGGACACCAGGTTAGAGAAGAGGACACATGGTTACGTAAGCTGAGCCTAAGTTTACAAATAAGGTTCCTCCTCTCTCTCTCTCTATATATATATATACACAGCATATACAGATATCTATAGATACATGTGTGTATACTATATATTATGTATGTATGTATTTATGTCATATATGTATATATGCACTCTTAAATCTCAGTGGCTCGAGCTGTTGGATCCACATCGCTGCCGGTCTCCGGACTTGGTGACGCACGTAGGCCTCGATGCAATCGGCGAAGCTTGCGTGGCCTGCGCTGGGAGTCTCTCGAATGGTTTCGGGCTTCGGACATAGGCGTCAAGGGCTTCGAGGGGTAGAATGTCAAGTTTAAGGGATGCGAACTTGGCATGACGGGTCTAGGGTTAAAGGTTCATGAGCAGGCGAGTTTAGTGTCAAGGCTTCGGACTCGAGGTTTCGCAAATGGACCGACGAAACAGCTGCGGGTTGTTTTCACTAGTAGTTCACCCTAAACCCTTATCCCTAACCCCCTAAACCCTAAACCCTATAGTAGGGAACCAAGCCGGGCCAAAGGCCCCTAGGAGGGAAACTGCTGAGGGTTGAGGGTTCCCAAACATCCCAATACCCTCTAGGTTTAGTGAGAGATACTACTATGTAGCACTATATGGAATCATATGGCATACTCTCGAAAACATGGTGTCCATGTATGTGACATACATATATGTATATCTATATCTATATCTATATCTCTATCTTTATCTATACCTATATATATATATATATGTGTGTGTGTGTATGTATGCCATGTATTCTATCAGAAGAGCCTGTCTAGCCGGACATCCCAGAGGCCCGATGCAACCCTGAACGCTCGGCAACACATGTCTTAACTCAACTCGACCCTTACATCTATATCAACATAAGAAAATGTGCAAACATTCCCAACTGCCTATGGGCTTAAGTTTGAACTACATTAAAAGAGCCTACCAAGTTGCTGTGTGTGACGCTACGCTTCGAAGATTCCCCTGATTTCAATACCAGGCCTCGTAGGAGCTGCATGTTCGTTATGACCTGACAGCGAGAAGAATCCGGGCCTAAAGCTGGGGCTCTACGAGCATTTTTGGATTTAGGACGCACCGGACGAGGGAGCACGACTGCGAATCTTGAAATGCAAAATGCCCCATCACGGCGGGATCTGGAGATCATTTTGACGAATTTGAGGAGCCAAATGGTGTGGCCCTGCCAAGACATTCAAGACCGTGCGGATGCCCCCATGAGCATGGGACTGTGGCTGGATTGCGATTTCGAGGCTTGGATGTGCACATCTTATGAATTCAACTTCTCTGGTGGACACGGGCCGGCGTGGGACTCTGAAGACAGGGTCGTGCACGCCTGCCTCAACCTGAAATACAGCCCTAGACCCTGATTTTGGCCTAGGCCCTAAACTCCTAAACCTCAACCCCTAACAGTAGTAATAGTAGTTCAATACTGAAAGTAGCTCATTCCTGGATCTTGGGCCTTGTGCCACCACAGCTTCCCGCGCCGGGACCACCGAGTGCGCATGCCCTCCAGGCAAGTCGCTCTCAAAAGTGCCTTGACTTCAGGGTCTGTGGGGTTGAAACCTTTGGGTTTCGTGGGCTCTGGCCCGCGGCTTTTGTTTTGGATAGTGCTGAAAACCCTTGAGACGACAGACTGCAGCCTCTTCATCCGCACCGACCACAGCCTAAACTACAGAAGCCCTGGGCCCAAAAGCCAACAAGCAGCAGACACCAACCTGACTCCCGAAAGCCCTCTGCAAAGCCGAAGTCCGAACACCCGGAAACAACAGAATCAGAAACCTTCGCCCAACACCTCCGCCAGGAAGTCGGGTTTCCTTTAGCAAAACTCCATTCTCTGGACCGGTTTAGTACAGGGAAAGGAGCTAAAGGCGACATCAATGCATAAAGCCTTGGTTTTGGGATGATGCGCACGCACGTACATGCATGAAAACCTGCCTACCTACCAACCTACCAACCTACCCACCTACCCACCCACCTACCTACCTACCGACCTACCGACCTACCGACCTACCGACCTCCTCACTGCCCACCTACCTTACCTTACCTTACCTTACCTTACCTTACCTTACCT